TCTCCCTAACCTTCCTTCCCCTCCCCTACAACCTCTCTCTCTCTCTCTCTCTCTCTCTCTCTCTCTCTCTCTCTCTCTCTCTGTGTGGGGGGGGGGGGGGGGGGGGGGGCTGGTACTTGTGCAAGGATTCGCAATGTGTATGGCATTCGCTTCTGCGAGCGACCCAGGGAGATCTTGTGAGAATATTAATTGATGTGCAGCTTGTGTCGAATGTCTCACCCTGTGTCACAATGTTGTTGGCCTGCGCCAGAGACTGCGCTACTCACTTGTGGCGAAACGAGTGAGCAAAAAAAGTTAAGTTGAAAACCGTCGCCAACGTCGACAGGCGTAACGCTGCGGATCTGTAAATGCAGTTCGGACGTTGGCGACAATGTTTCCCTTTTTCCTTTTTTTTTCGGTTTTTCAGTTTATTTATGCGGTAAATGTCATCATCCTTCGGTGGCGACCTTCGGGACGTCAAACCATCGCGATTGGGCCGAAGTGAAGAAAGAAAAAGGAAAAAGGATCGGTCTTCGATCACTCGATGGTCAGCGTTCGACGTCTTTTTTTTCTTCTTTTTTTTTTTCCCGCGAACCGGCTCATAAAATGTGCAAAACGAGAGTGAATCTTCCGCTAGAAGATGAAAAGATACACCGGCAATATTTTTGTCTTTTGTGCATGTCGAGAGTAGTGCAGCAAGGCCCATACTTTTGATTAACAATAACAAAAAAGGCACGCAAGGCGAGGCTCTGCCTTGGCGTTGACCGGTACAGAAAACTAGAAGATCGCCCTCAAAGTTCGACAATTACCAGGATGCCCCTGAAAAAGTGCGTTTGCAGTTAAACCCCTAGACCTGTCTCTTATACACATCTAGATGTGTATAAGAGACAGGAGCAGTAGGGGCGAGGAGGAGGAGGAGAAGAGCAAGGAGAAGAAGGAAGGAGCCTGCCTCTGAAGGGTAAGCGATGGTGTCTCGATGGATTGGTCCGAAGCATACATTTGTGGGAAAGATGAAGATCGAGAAAAGACGAGGTCATGCGACGACAGAAGAGGGAGAACATGGAGAGGAAGAAGGAGAGGAAGAAGGAGAGGAAGAGGGGAAGGCAGGAGAAGTACGGAGCGACGCCAAGGCCTTGTCTATTCTTTCCATAGCATCCTCTAGAGTGGTCATAGCTGCCGCATACGATATGCGGACGCAAGACGGCTCGCCGAAGGCATCCCCAGGCACCAGAGCGACCTTCGCTATGTCCAGAAGAAACCGACAGAAGGAATCGGATGAGTCAACGAGGCCGAAACCCTCCACCTCCACCCCGAAGTAGGCGCTCACATCCACGAACAAGTAAAAAGCGCCCTGCGGAACCGCAAGCTTTACGCCAGGGATCGCCGAGAATCTGGCGACGAGGAAGTCTCGTCGCTCGCAGAATGCTTCCACCATAGCCGCCACCTTCTCCCCACCTCCTCTTCCCATGGCCAGCGCCGCCATCGCCGCTTTCTGAGCGATGCTGTTCGCGCCGGACGTCGTCTGGCTCTGAATCCGATTACAAGCGACGGCGAAGTGACGTGGCGCTGCCACGTAGCCGAGCCTCCAGCCCGTCATAGCGAAAGCTTTCGAGAAGCCGTTCACGGTGATGGTACGGTGGAACATGCCAGGAAGACTTCCAAAGCTGACGTGGCGCACGCCGTCGTAAGTGATGTGTTCGTAGATTTCATCGGAGATTACGAGAAGGCGGGGGTGGGCGGCGACGATCTCCGCCAGCCGAAGCAACAGATCGTGCGGATAGACTGATCCCGTGGGATTGGAGGGGGAACAGAGAATCAGAACCCTTGATTGTGGAGTAAGGTGGGCGGCGAGATCTTCCGGAGACAAGAGGAAATTGTCGTCTTGGCGGGTGCGGATGATGACACTCTTGGCGTCGGCGAGAGTGGCCATCTCCGGGTAGCTGACCCAATAGGGAGCGGGAATGATGACCTCATCACCGGGGCTGCACACAGCGAGAACCGCTTGTTGAATGCTCTGCTTCGCGCCGTTGCTGACGACAATCTCGTCTGTCTCGTACTTTAGACCGTTCTCTTCGCTCAGCTTGCGACAGATAGCCACGCGCAGCTCCTCCGTCCCCGCGTTGGGAGTATAGCGAGTGTAACCCTCTCTTAGCGCCTTGATTCCCGCCTCCACAATAGGCGACGGGGTGTCGAAATCTGGCTCCCCTGCCGCCAAGCCAATCACTGGAATTCCCGCCGCTTTCATTGCGCGGGCCTGATCAGTCAAGGCCACTGTCTTCGACGGCCGGAGCGCGGCCACCCTTGGATTCAGCGTCTGATCGACGGTGGACGTTGGCGTCATCGCTTCACCCTCCTCCCTCCCCATTTCCGCCGCCACCTCCGCCGCCGCCGCCTCTGCCGCCGCCGCTCTCACCAGCGTCTGGCCACGTGATACGGACACAGGACCTGCAAGACTAGGATGCGGGCTGCCGCGCGAACACGGCGGCCAAGTCTCCGCTGCTGCCTCGCGTTCCACCACCACCCCTCCCGTCTCCCAATGCCGTCTTCGGGTCGGCCGCCGCCGCCAACGTGCAAGATCACCGGTCGCAATAACGCCGAATCGGATCACGTCACCGCACGCGAGACGACGGCTTTGACGATTGGCATTACAAACCCACGAACGCTGCCGACATTCGGTGGACCATGCGGGACAAGTAAGGTTAAGAAGATAAGGGCCGTCGGGCAATTGTGATGGTACACCCTCACTCGTACTCACCTGGAGATGGGAGCAGGCCATCCGAGTGGAAGCTCCAGCTACAATCGCCGCAGTTGCAGCCATGATTGCACTCTCTTTCCTTAATTAGTAGCGGCAGCACGTCATCTCACGTCGACCAGTCGTCGTCAATATCCTTCGCTCCTAAGCTTCCTTACTCCTCCCCTACCCTTCCTTCTCCTCCCCTACAACACCTCTCTCTCTCTCTCTCTCTCTCTCCCTAACCTTCCTTCCCCTCCCCTACA